AATGAATAAACTCAATAATAATTCTTATCAGTTCATAGAATTTTGTTTCAGTTTGTAACAGTAAGTATCGGAAATTTATGCGCGTGAGATATGTTTCACTAGACGATTATTTACTATTATTGTCTCCTTAACTATCCGAGTTTTACAGCTCTTTTGGTTATAAAAATATATTGGAATGTTGTACCCCATAAATTCCTATAGCGCTTTATTTTCCGAAACTTCTGAATGGAAGAGTTCCAAGTTTCACATTTGTCACTCAATGCTGTCTGCCAAACAACTTTGAAGTTATAGCAGCACAGATGCGACGCTTCCAGATATTTACCCCTGTAAAAGATTGAACATGGCGATTTATTATTTTTCCAACACAATACGTAAATAGAAAAACCACAATAAATCACGAAGGCGAAAAAATACAAAAAGGTCGTGTTTCTATTTGTTCAATCAGTAAATATATTCAAATCCTTTATCTCTAAAACAACAGCCATTTGTATTGACCACTAGTAAATAAAACCTCTGCATGAATTTGGAGTATTCACAGTTCACTATTCGTTAAACAAGACCGTTTTTTTTTCTCATCCACCAAATTGTCCATTCCGCCTTTTTTTACACGATCCACTGTGGGTTCAGATTTCTTTTTCAAACGTCCGGTCATCCCAGTTCCGCTCGCGCAAGCGAATTCGTTCCGGAGAGCCAACGAGACAGAAAATGGCAGAAGAAAAAGGTCGACGCTGGTCGTTTGATTCGGCGTTCCGGGAGCGAGGGATAGAAAAATCTGCGGCGGCAGATTGAAAGGTTCGCCCTGTCGCGTCGCGTTCGAGAAATGAAATGCACTGAGTGAGCGTGGCTGGATCATTCCCAAGTCGGATCAATTGTTGTAAGACTACGAGTCGACCGAAGCCTCCGATCCCCGGCCAAACACCGTTCGGTCAGTCTCTACCCTGAGAGATACCGATCGGTACGAATTTTTTGATACCATCACGACTACCTGCACTTTTTCATTCGCTACACGAATCGAATGCAGCTCCTACGCTCGGTGTAAATGGAACGAGAAGTAATTGAATAAAAGACTTCCCCGTCGACGGAATTGATAAGATTGCCTGACTGATGCGAACTTCAGGTCTCTTTATGTTACTCTTGTAAGTTCATTGTGTCACGCTGTCGGGTACTGCATTCAGTTAAACACGTTTAATACATTGTACTGCTAAAATCGAATTTCTTTCTTCTAACACTGACTTTAAGTCAGTAAGGAATATTTAACCAATTTGCATCATACATATAGACGTTCCTTATCACAAGAGTAGTGACTGAGTTTAATGACATTTATACATTAACAATTTCTTTTTATTGCCTTGACATGATTCTCTCGAACAGTTCTTATTTTCAAGACTATTCATAAAGACAGTCTTTAAATAAAAATTAGCTGATAAAATTATTAAACATAATTTGAATACTAAAAGAACAAAAAAAGTAAAGCTCAAAGTTTTGTTGCTTCCTTCGTTTAGAAAGAAAAGAAGAGAAATTTATCAATATGGAAATTCATTCAGCATCCGCTGCTTTAAATACGACGTATTTATGATCATAGAATGAAATCATAGCATCTTTTCATATTTTATTCTTCTGTGTGTTTGTCAATGTATTTATAGTAAAGATACTTATATTATTTTACACGATTTGTTTCAAAATCGATAAGCTGTATGTTTCTCAATATTACAAACCGAGTGACATTTTGCTTGAGTTTCAGGAGAATAAAAATTGTGTCGATACGATACTATTCATATGTGCAATTCATAACGCCTTGGAGGCGACGAGAATCCGGCTTATTTTTCGACAGGTCGTCCTGGTAGATTGAAATGGAAATGTGGGAACTTATCCGGGCGGGGCGCGTGTCAAATCTGGATGCGAGAAAACGCATGCGGGGAAAAACCGTAAAACCCGGAGAAACGGCCCCGACCGTCAGACAAATTGCATTAAATCTCCATTCGCGCGGCGCGTGGAAAATATTGACGCCGACTCGCGTCGCCCGTTCCCCTTCGACGTAAATATTGATAGGTCGCGGATGAATCGTACCGGTTGCATCTTTCATGCGATCGACTGCCACGTATCCAGCGTTCCGATCCGGGCGGAAAATCAAATTCCGAAAGAGACGCCGGCAAGCGAACGGATTCATTGTGACTACCTGTACTCTCGTTCTACGCTTCCCCGTCCGCGTAAACTCGTGCCGACGCCGTGAGGTTTTTAGTATTTTTATGGCCGTCGTGCCGTACTTTCTTTGGAACACTTTATCTTTGTTTTATACGCCCGCTTTGGCAAGGAGACCGGTTTTTATTCGCTCGCGTTGCCCGCTAGGACTGAATATTTGATACCGTGAATTAGGGGATTGCCAAGAGTTGTGCGCGTGGCTGAAAAAGGAAATAGGAAAAAGAATCGTCTTCCATTGGCGTGCTTGTTGGGATCGACGGGAAAGATAACATTGATTTAATAGCTTCAGTATGTTTTCACAATGTTCCCTTCACGTCGTTGAGTCCATAGAAGAAATATTGTACAATTAAACGAAATATAGCACAAATAATAATTCTCCGAGGCTTGGTCAGTCCGTCATTGATTCCCTTTATCTACTCGAATCGTGTGACGTGCATGTTTAATTGCAAAACGTGTATAAACCGGTTTTTCGCTGGCACGAAGGATTCTTGAGGAGGGAACTGTCTGACCTATTTAGAAGCAATCTATTATTAACGCTCCGAGGAAGTCTAAACCCATTGGATGATCACCCCCTTTCGTGACTGGAAACTCACACGTGAGTTTCATACTTTTATCTGTGATCTGTTTGAAGTATAAGTAATTACGTTAACAGACGGCGTATTACGCAAAGTAATTCGCAGAAACTTGCATTATGCGTGAATGATAATCCGTGCAAGTCCTCGTTTCTCAATTATATTACTGAATAATGGAAGAATCGTTTAGTATGCTTTACATTATACAATATATCTGATATTTGAAAATTCTCTATTTTGCATGGAGGAGTATATTATGCTTCAATGTTTCAATATCCCATTACTTCACTAGGTCAATACCCTAGTATCCCAGAATTTGTAGGATCCTAAGGGAAATCTCTGTGCTGAAGGTTACAGAAAGATGTACTATACGATAGAATTCATTAGTAGTTGGAAATTTCAACAATAATCCCAAAATTAATCAAAGTTCTTCATAAATATTCAGCACGGTACAGAAAAATATCTTAATTTATAATCCACATATTTTACATTCTGGGTTAGCTGTTGTTAATTTAAATAAATTAAAGAACATATAAAACATGGTCCTCTGAAGTTACTGAGCTTCTACTCTTGCTCGATTTTAATGTTTAATTTTCACTTTCGTCTTCCAATATCTACTCCGAATGGAATGTCTCCGAGATAATTTAATGGCATCCTAACATCGTTCCAGTGGAAGAAGGTGATGGCCCGTACCACGCGCTCGCGACGAAAAATGGCGAACACGACTGATGCTCCCTCGCCTGCGAGCAGCCTTTTGTCATCCACCACGACGACCCCATTCACCAGCCCGACATTGACAACCTACTCTACCGAGGGCTACACCTTCAATTATAGCGGCCTGCCCAGCCTAGGTGGCTACTCGTTGGAGGATCTGAATTACACGGAACTCTTGGTGGACGTATGGAATAGCACCGAGGCCAGTAACGTGACCGAGAGGTTAAATACCACTGTACTGCCATCGGCAGGAGGCTACTGCGACGAATGGGAGGCAGCGCAGCACAAGCTCTTCCAGGTAAGTCGCGGTCCCTTCAACGCTTCGCGGATATAACGTAGGAGTACACGGTTGTAAGCGTTTTGGGTAGAACAATGTGTATTATGTCTGGTAGGAGGATTAGGGGAACTCATGGATACTTACTGGGAGATTGATAGAATACGAGACAATGCTTGGCACCAGTGAGCATTGTGCGTATTGGACTGCACTTAATCCTTCAGATTAAATTGATGAGATAATCCTTTTGGTCACTGCGACAATATAGCAAATATCACAATTTCCATTCACTCGCGTAAGACAGTGAGTAGAAATTGGGATATTTATTATACCACCAATCTTACTGTTTTATCTAACAGAAAACGTTCGTTGAAAAATAAAATTTGTTAAGGTCTGGTCTATAGAATGTTAGAATGAAAACAGAAAAATCAGTACATCCTTAAAAAGAAGTTCTCTGAGAAAAAATGCTTTTTATACTTTCATATGAGGGGTGAAACCTTAATGATGTAAATCACTTTTCAGCCGAGTTGTGACTTGCACTATGAATGCTAATATATTTCAAGAAAACGTGAAGTAAGTGTAAACTGATATAGCATAATGTAGGCGTGTTAATAAAAACAGCTGTACCATTTCCGGTGCCTCCTAATTTCGAAAAGTGAATTACACCCATTATGACTTTCACCTCTGCATATATGCATACTAAGTTACTTGAACTTCAATGGTAATAGTTACATTTTGTCCATCAATAATTTCCAAACGATTGCTGAAAATTTTTTGATGTGAAGCAGTCTTGCTGTAAGGATTCTCATGAACCGTTTCGTTCCCGTTTGCTTTTTTGACAGGCGGCGAATTTGTTCTTCGCAGCGGCGTTCTTGGTGCCGCGCTCATTCAAGGCCTCAGTATTGGCGCTACGCACGTTTCTCACGGCCGGCTTCATGCTAGCCGCGCTCTGGGCTGGCATCACGATCTGCGCCCTGGACGCGATGCTTTGGTGCCTAGCTCTCGGCCTCCTGAACGGGATCCACTCGCTCATACTAGCCTGTCGATTTCTACCGCCCGCGCTCAGCCCGGAACTGGCCGAGCTCTATCTGAAACTGTTCAAGCCGTACAAGGTCAGCAAGAAACACTTCCAGGAGCTGGCAAAGGAGGCGAGGATATTAAAGTTGGACTCTGGTCAGACGTACGCGACCGAGGGCGTCACGCCTGCCGATGAACGGCTATCGATACTACTGCGTGGCAAGTGAGTATTAACACGCTCCCACCCTCTCGCCCCGTGGAATATACTTTTTTTTAGTCGCGTATTACCGTTGCTCGCATGGAATCGATCCTAGGAAACCGTTTCGAAGGCGGACTGACTTTCGTACTCAGTCCTCGCTTGCACGGAAGCTCCATTATTCCTGCATGTGAAATTGCTGGTTCAATCTGATATTAATATTCGTTGAAAAATTCATTTCTAAACCATTGCCATTAAACATTGTTCTCTATAAAAAGTTCTATTTAATAGAATGTCACATATCTGACTTTTGTTATCAAAGCATTGCACACTAAAACAAATTGGATTAAAGCACGTGTGAAAATCAGAGTAACTGTTGGCTATAGTTTGACGGTATTCAATCGCTCGAGAAGGGCGAAACTTCGACGAAATTACGCAAAACTATTCACTACCAACGTGTTCGAGCTTCTCGAATTCATTCGCCCTGCGGAAAGTTCTTCGCGAGAAGTTCGCGTCTCTTCTTGTATCACGCGCATCCTGTTTATGCCCTGTGTACGAAGTACACGGCGCTTCTGTTAGCTTCGTGTTGCATACTGCGAGGGAATTTTGCTCTTATGAATCCAAACACGACGTTGTTCCTCGTGTTTGTAAAAGGATTTGTTTCTAACTCCGTTCTTAAGATCGTATCTGAAAACCGTTTCTGTATATTTTATCATTGTATATTCCTTAATTTATGAGAATATTTTTATTCGTGAGTAAAAGTTGGATAGGAATGTGGTGAAATACGTTGAATTATGTAACGGGTAGATTGCGCATTTTTATGCAAAATAAAACTTTTGGAATGT